AGAGAGAGAGAGAGAGAGAGAGAGAGAGAGAGAGAGAGAGAGAGAGAACTGTAAGCATCACAAAATCAGCCACTAGATCCAAATAGTTCTTACAGATTTTGAACATATAATAGATATATGAAAAAATGGGTTGTCATGTGAGTAAAACTGTAATTTTTGTAAGTTACTACAAGAATGCTTGCAGAAATTTCCTCTGTGCTGTAGGAAAGGCTGTGTGTGTCACCATGCACTATGGAATTCATAGACACTCAGAGCTGGGTCAGACCTCAGTGAAGGCTACCTGCCAGCTCTTCATTTCAAGAAGATGAAAATAGAAGGCAAAAGAACCCTCTTAACACATGAGTTGATGCTCAGGAGCCCCTTTTCTATGTTCTACATCTTACTAATGTCCTATAAATTGTCACATCTCTCATAGAATGGAGATAATGGTATTATATGCTTGGTGAAGTTGTATGGAAGCTGGTTGAAGGATTTCCAAGTGTAGTTCCTGGAAAATGAAACACAATAGTTTCCCCCAAAACAAAATAAAAACACAAACAATACCAGAACACCATACAAACAATACAACAACAACAACAGCAACAACAACAACAACAAAATAACCACCAGTTACTGCTCCCCACTTCTCCTTATCATGTTTATTAACTTAACTGGGCATGGTACAGATAAATGTGTCAATGTAGTAAAACTTTTATTATCAGGTAATGATATTTTTGCTTTTCCTTAGAGTTTTAATGAGTTGAAACCTTTTCTAAGTTATCCTTACAATATGTATATGTAACTCATGACAAAGAAAATATAAAGAACAGAGTTTTATTAAATAAAAAATTAAATAAAAGTATTATATGTTGTGAGTGGAAAGTATAAAATTCTTGAATGTCAGTCTCTTTTCTTTGGCTAATCATATAGGCATGCTTCATAGAAATATACTTGTCAAGATTGTTTTTAAATAATAGGGGATATGCCTTAATAAAAAATCAGTAGAGTGCACTCTTTTTCTAAAACATAACAGAAATTACATTAAACATTCAAACCTTCAGTTTAGTCATTGGCTAGGCATGGGGTAGGAGAGTCAGCTGGCTTGATATTGGTTGCCAGGAAACACACAAAAGCCCTAGGACAGAGAAAACAAACAACACCATATTGCTGGGAGAGTGGCCTTTGGATGCAAGAGCTTCACTGGACGAGAGGAACTTTGGAGCTGTGTACCTGTGTCGTGTCGTTGAATACCCCTAGATGGAGAACTGCAGCTGAAAAGGATGAAAGCAGTAAAGGTCAGTCAAAGAGATTAGAAAAAGATGCTTTCTAATGCAATTACATGTGGACCACAAGGGGTTTCCTTGTCAGTATGAAGTGGGAAAAGCCTGACACATTTCTAATCAGTCAAGGGGAAACAGAGGATGAAGAGCTGAATCGGAGGTCTTGAAAACAAACTATAGTTTCAAGTAAGTGAAGTAGTAAAGGCTTTCATTTTTCCCACCTTCGTTAAATGGTTTTACCTCATAATTATATGGTTGGAACTTTCATTTTAAGTTGTATTCTAAGTTGTACTCCATTTCAAAGGCACAAAAGCAGCAACAAGAGAAACAAACACAGAGAGTTGAAAGATGCTGAAGAGAGGTGAAGTTATTAGGAGCTATCCCAATTCTGCACTTGGATTGAACATGGGTTCCCAGTCAGAGCCAACACACCTTGAGAAAACAGAAGGTCTTACTACAAGTGAAGATTATGGTACAGACCTCCTTGAAAACAAGCTTAGTGTGGAGGATTTTGGGAAGATACAGCAGGTCTTTGAGGTAAGTGCTAGATCAGAGGATTTGGGCTGTACACAAAAGGATGTAACATGAAACACATACTTTTGTTGAAATATATCACCATATCATGTCTGAGATAGTTCAGTTAACAAAGTGTCAATACAAAGACCTGAGTTTGATCCCTAGCAGCCATATGGAAATCTCAGTCCTGAAGAAGCAGAGATAAGGAGATCTCTGGGTCTCACTGGTCATCTCATCTGTATAGTCAGTGAGTCAGCCAGTTCCAGTGAGAGCCCTTGTCTCCAAATATATGGTGGATATCCCCTGAAGAATGATCTATGGCTTCCACATACTTGTAAGTATACATGTTTATCTACACACACACACACACACACACACACACACACACACAGTTCAATAAATATTTTTTAATAGCCATAGCAGGGACTTGAAATTGTTAGGCTCAAGGTTAACATCAAATGCTTAGTAACATTCTCCTTCAATTTATTTCTCTGGGACAAACACTATCAATTAATTTGAAACTGTTACATAAAATTATACCACTATCAAAAAGTACAATTTATTATTGCATATTTTGTTTTAGAAATTAATACATTTTTACCAGAAAGTAAAACTTATACTTGTGAATGAAAAAAGCCAGATGACTAAATTGATCCCCTGGTAAATAATTAACCTTGCACTTGATACAAAAGTAGAACTAGGAAAATGCAAATATATGAGCCCAGTTAGTAAAAATTCATTTCTGCCTCCCTCTGAATGACATATCCCATTTCAAAGATGATGTGGGCACTGTGGTGTCCTACAGTCCTACATGGGACTCATCTCTCATGCCTCTTATTCTCTCCTGGACTAATGCAAGTCCGAGCAATATTTGAGGTTTTTGTTTAAATTCCACATAGAAAATAAATGACATGAAAATCACAACTGATCAGTGCCCTCTCCTTACATTATATAACTAATTTGTAATTCTGCTACTATATAAAATGGATAACATCCTTCAGAGTAAAATTTAAGTTTCAAATGGATACAGGAGAACTCCATTCAGTGCCATGAAATTTAGACAGACAGAAACCTCTATCTTTCTGCTTCATTATACTTGCTAAGATGAGATCTCAGGGCTCCATGAGCTCTTCCAGGAGGTGCTTGGAGTGCCTGTATTAATTGAAAGCAGACATATAATGTTTTGGAACTTAATCTTAAAATTAATAAAACATGAAATCTAGCAATTATACTGAACTGTAATTGGCACGCATTTTAACCTTTAGTTACCACAAAGTAAAAAATAGATGTGGTACCTGGAGAGATGGCTCTTCAGTTAACAGTGCTTTGCAAAGTTGTACCAGAGAACCTGAGTTCAGATCCATGTTAGGTACCTCAAACTCCAGAAGGATTGATGTGTCTAATCTATATAGGGA